GAGAGAGAGAGAAAGAGAGATCGAGAGGGTGAGAGAGAGAGAGAAGGATCACAACTGTTAAGTACTCTTTTCCATTGTGAGGTGGAGTGCTGTAGCACACCCCAACATAAAAAACCCACATCATGTACACTAGATGTACCTCACGCAAGCTTTGAACGGAACACAACTAGATTCTAAATCTAAAAGTTTTCTAGTCAGTTGAAAATCAAGCTTGAGAACAAGTCTAGAGGAATAAACTGTAATGTTTGATTCAGAGAAAACAATTTGAAAAAATATTTTGTTGCAAGGTCCTTGGCCGAAACGCAGAAATTCGCACGAGAAAGCTTGCTTGACGTTAGAGTACTGGTAGACACAATTGGTCCGGCCAGATTTTTCCTCTAGTCCAGGTGTATTGAGGAGTGAAAGGTACCAATTTAATCAATTTTTGCATAATCAAACATATTTATTTTAGGGAAATTTTATCAATTTATGTTAACATGATAGGATTGTCCTTCTATAAAGGAAGATCTAGCCTACCCAGACTATACCAAATGAAATAAATAAATATGTAATATATCAATTGGGCAATTTGTACAGGGAATTCTCATCTCTTACTCTCATGAAGTATCTACTTGCCTACTTCCGGTTCCACCGACACCGTGTACAATAGGCCTACGGCTTAGTAGAGGCCTTGTCTGCAAGTGTAAATAAACCAGTGTAAGTGGTAAGCAGTAAGACCATTGAATAATAATTTGCGGGTTTTGTGGCATTCTTTTAACAAACAACGAACAAACAGTCTGGTGAGACCTACTCACATTTGAGAATAATAATGCAATATTTAGAAATCTAATGTTGTGCATTGTTGTGTTGTGAAATTGACATTGAATTGCAATCATCACAGCAATTCAATTCAAAACTGAATTGATTTGATGAACTTTGTCTTTGTTGTCTGTGGTGCTGTGGCTTTGACACTTTGTTGTAAAGCCGTTATCACCATCAAAATATTTGGTAACCGGGCACCTAGCCTTTCTACTACGTACACGGCAACCGGGCAAGCAAGTAGTCTCAGTGTCATGTACACGGTAACCGGGCATGTAGCCTCAATATCTATGTACACGGTAACCGGCAACCGGGCATGTAGTCTCAGTGTCACGTACAGGGTAACCAGGCAGTTCAGAACTCCAAGTTCAGTTTTTGTCATCCGATGTTGCCTTCATCCCCACCCCTCCCCTGACTGACTGACTGTACCTTTTTTAAAAAAACGAAGTGACTATTCGGACTCGAGTCCGAATATGAAAAAAATGTTATTCGGACTCTGATTCTTGTCCAGCATGACAACACTTCTGACTTCCGGCTTTCTGTCCTGCCTCACTCGTGACTCGCCTCAGGCTGGGTAGAGACCGGGATCACTTCGGGCAAAATGGCGCTTTGTGCAGGAGCCGAGTTTTTATCTTATGATGAATTTGAGGCCGGCCTGAAAAGTTATAGCGCTTCTAATAAATGTTTATTTGTCAAGAGGTCATCAGAAGCAATTAAAGATGGCTCGTTAGCGTGTATCGGGGTTGGATGGGCGGCCTGCACACGTGTGGCTGTGATGCGTGTCGGGGAGGGGGGGGGGGGAAAGGGGGCACTATCGGTCCGGGCGTTGAACGTCGCATCCACGTCAGTCTTTTTTCCCCCGGCAACTGATCATTATTACAATAATAAGCTAGTCTTGACGTAGATCTACATTATAATGAATTGTGCGCTGGTCTATGGAATCAAAAGTTGCCGTGTATGCTCGGCTCTACACAGCAACACAACTTTTTCTTGGTAAACAATCGAGATGACACAAGCTTGTGTATTTGTGTATTTTTTTACACCGCTCATAATATGCAGGTGCCAGGTGGTCTGCTAATATTCAGTTTTACCTTTTTCTACAACAAAAAAGGTGGGAAACATGGGGGGGTGGGGGTGGCGTATCATTAAAGCGGCGGGCATCGGATCGGCAGATAAGGTGTGGGGGAAACTAAAAAATGGCGGAAAATTGGAAGCACTGAACGTTAGATCTATAGAACGAAGACACACTTCCTTTTTAGAATATAATTTTTTCATATTCGCGCTCGAGTCCGAATAAAGACGGCCTTAAAAAAAATAATCCCCCTATTCTGGAGCCCTATACTTCGCAACGTTCAGACTTTGAATGAACTTTGGTGACCCCAACCGGTACTCACAAGGTGATGCACACGCACAAGTTCACTGACCGGTCACGATGGCGAGCCCGACAAGACGCTTGTATGACTTTCTTTTTTTTCAGCAAGTTGAGCAAGTGACAGCTGAGGACAAATATTGATATATTTTCATTCCGGCTACCATGTACGTAGATACTGAGACTTGGTGCCCGGTTACGGTGTACATGTAGATACTGAGACTAGGTGCCCGGTTACGGTGTACGTAGATACTGATACTAGGTGCCCGGTTACCGTGTACGTAGACACTCCGTTTTTACACAAAGCGGAGATGCATAATTAGAGAACTGACAACTAAACGCCATTGGCCGATATTTATAGTTGCAGCCATCTTGTTTGACCTCGCAAGGGGGATGCCCGCCGCTGTGTCACCTGATAAAATAAATATTAAAAATAGTAATCATGATTTTGCGAAGCGGAAGCGCACGGTTTTCACAGGCACTTCTGTGTTTTCAAGCCACGTGAGAAGTACTACAGTTTCCCCCCTCCAGCAGCCCCCCTTTACTCCCTTCCCTCTTTGAGTCTTACCTACAATTTGAAGTTGAAGACAAGGTTGATGAAAAGTAGGCTAAAAGTGTAGATCTACAGAAACAGGCTTTCCTGTTGAGTGAGTGGCAGAAAAAACCCCAAATAGATATAGGCCTAATCGGAATCAGAAGTTTAAGAAAGATAATAAAAAGAGTTAGAAAAGAAGAGGATAAAAAAGGAAGTGGAAAGGGGTAAGGGGCGGGGGGGGGGGGGGGGGAGAGCAGAGACAAGACAAGGAGGAAAATGTAACATGAAAAAAAAAAAGCCCAGGAAAGAGAGGAAATTAGGTAGGGAGAGAGGGAATTTTAAGGGGCTAGGCCTGGTAGTGGCAGAGTCATGATCTTTAAAGTCTTGAGGGTGAAGCCAGGTTGTTTACGTAAAGAAGTGTTGCTGAATTGATGCCCCCATTTGTGTGTTCATATTTATTGTTCTTGAATGGGCCTCGGTGTTTTCCCTGATTTTGGGTTGATTTTGTCTATGTCCTTTACCATTGCACTGCTATAGAGATCTTTTTTGTGTTTCAAGAAGACTCTTCAGAATTCCTCATTCTCTCCTTATTTAATTTTCAAACCATATCAAGTGGAAAAGTGAATAATTGTGTTTCTGATGACGCCCCGATCTTACACAGTAGGGCAGAGTAGAGTATTTCATCTGTCCTTTCAAATGAGACATTGAACCTAGAAGTAAGGCGTACTGTAAGTTGTAAGTCATGCATTATCCTACTAGACTTTTATTTCCTTGTCTCTAAAAAATGAATAAAAATGATGCAATTTTTTTCTTTGGTGGGGGGTGGGGAGTGGGGTGGGGAGTGGGGTAAGGAATATAAAGGTGTGTTGGTTCTTGGGAAGCTGTCTCTCTCAATGGTATGTAGTTATACTTTAAGAATATAATTGGGAGGGAACTGAGCTAAAAATGTGAAGTTGCAATTGGATTGTTTGTGGCTCTGAGAAAACCCTTACATGATTTAAATTGTCAAAATTGATTTTTTTGCATGTTTTGAAAGACACATCTTTCCCTAGCATTTTTGCACTTAATTTGAGTGCAATTGTTGGAACATTCTGTGAAAAGTCATTCATGGCATTTTAAAGTGCACAGGGGTCCAAAGGTGAAGTTTTGAGAAAATGGGTTTTAAAGTTGACATTCGGCCATCAGAACTTCCATAATTAGTGAAAATAGTAACAGCTATTTTGTTTGATGTCATTGAGGGATTCCCACTTTGTTGCCGTTCACGTTGGCAACACGACCGCAAAGCACTATTGCAGTATTTTTAAAGCCTGTATAGCTTACAATGGCGTGGTGGTGGAGTGGTTAGTGCGCTTGTCTCCAAAGCAGAAAGTCCAAGTTTGAGCCTTGGTTCGGCCACGAATTTTTTTTTTTGGCTCAAAGACGTCAAACAAGATAGCTGTTACTATAAATATCGACCAACAGCGTACATCTGTCGTTTTAAAGTTATCCGCATGTTTTCTCCTCCCACCAGCCTTCCTCCGCCACACATTTATGATTTTTGTTGTTTGTGTCCTACTAATTATTGAATTTCCTACTTGCATTAGAATTTTTTTTCTCTGAATCTGAAATAGATCTGTAGATCCTGCCTATGACCTTTCTGGACTTGTGTGCTTCTCTTTTAGTACTTTGTCTCTCTCAAATCATATTTATTTGTGGTTTTGGTGGCAATGCTTAGCTGTCCTCTAGTCACTAATCTACAGCATGCTACCTCTTTATGCTCTCTTCAAACAACTAAATGACCCCCCCCCTTAAACAAAACACACAGGCATGCATGTGATCAGACAGGATTGATGAGTGTTGTGGTAACATCTGGTAGCTATAGAATTCCCCTGTCATTCATTTACAAATGCGATAAGGGGTGATGCCACCACACTAAATGTCGCCACCACCACTGTACTGTGTGTTGCAGTGTGTAGCAATGATTAGTCTAATGAGTGTGCACGGAGTGCGGTACTAATAAGGAAGAATTATTTTCCTGGTTGATGCTTGGGATTCTTATTTTTGCGTTTTGTAGGCACTTTTAGTGATGACTATCCTACAAAGTTCACTCTGCTGAAGTAGGAAAGTGAGCAAGGTTCTCTAGAATGATCCAGGTGATATTTTATTATTTTATGTACAGTGGGCAACTGGCACCCTTTGGGGTGTATGTCTTTGAATGTTCGCCTTGGCACGTCATAAGGCTGCAATGATAATTATGATTATGTTGTGTGCTGTGAGTGAAAAAAGTGTGCCATTTTAAACAAACATTTGTCCCAGTTTCTAGATTTCTTTACGATAAGAACTTGCCCTTCTTCATATTATAATGCTTTGATTGATAAAAAGATCATATAATGGAAGCTAGCAATCCTGATATTGTGAAATTGTGTGAGTTGAATTTTGTCGTACTTTCAGGGTGGGATTGGTGGTTGATGGATGCTCTATTGAGGTTTGGTCCCTTTTTCCTGTCAAACATCTATCATCCTTATCTCTCCTACTTTTTTGTTGCGTTTGTTTCTCTATTTTAACACCCTTAATTTTTCGCGCTATATGACCTAATTGTGTTACAAGTGCCGTAGAGCTCTTACTAAAAATACTTTCAGGTCAAATGTACTTTTCAATGTTTTAGAACCAAAGGGCGGTGTGATATTTAGTATTTAATAGGACCAAAACAGAGAAGCATTTATTATTAAAGAAGCAAGATTTTTAAAAATTAAAAAAATTTTAGTCGCTGGCCTGCATTTTACAAGTGCCACGCATGGTTTCGTGGGCATATTAGGTAAATTAATAAAAATGAGCTAGAATTTCTTGAAGGTTATAATATAATATAGCTATTACTTACTTGATATGGCACTTTGTGGACTATGCTTCAAGTTGATCTCTTTCTTAAATTTTCTTTTCAGCTTTCAGAATGAGCTGCAGATATCTACACTGTGCTCTGGAGTAAAACTTGGTGCTGTTGTAGAACTTTCGATCATAGATTTTCTCAATATCTGTAGCAGCCCCCTGAATCTGAATGCCTCTCCAGTCGTCAATCAGCAAAATGGGCAGGGAAGTAGAAGCCATCAACATTTCTAAAGCGGCTACCACCACCAACCTGTTCTACCTTTTCTTCCATGGTGGCAAAGCTGCTGTAATCCCTTTCCTCACTTTGTTTTTCCGCCTGATCGGCCTCTCGGCATTAGAAGCAGGTGGTCTCATTGCCGCCAAAACTATCACAGGCCTCATTTGGGCGCCCCTCTGGGCTCGTTGCGCCACAGCCTACAGCCGTCATCGCTTAGTTCTCACGTTCTCACTCTTCATGATGATGGTGACGTACCTGTCCTTCCCTGCCCTGTACACCCAGCTTGCCAAACCGGAGCATTGCTGGAAGGTGTCGGACAACGGCACGGTTTCCATGACGCCCCCAATGGAACAAGTGGGTTCTGCAGTGACACCAGCGCCATCCTTTGCTCCCCCGACGACAACGCCTCCAACGACAGCAGCAGAACAAACACATTCGACTTCACCTCCGACTGCCGCACCTCCGGAACTTCAGACTCAAACTCCTGCTCCGACTGAGAAGAACGAGGAGCCAGATGACCAAGAGAGTTCTGAGACACCGCCGCTAGAAACGGAAGTGGAGGAAACAGCTACTATCCCCTCTGCAGCTGGGGTCACGCCAGGGGAAGAGATTAAGTCTGTTCCTCCATCGTCTTCGTCAGAAGAGTTTTCTGAAGACTTTTTAGACCAGACTCGAGCTCTGTTAAAAAGGATGAACCTGACTCCTGAGGATTTAGTGAATATGCATGACCTGGGTTTAACGCCAGAGCAGCTGAAGGGACTGAGTGAAATCTTGCAGAAAGAGGAAGGAGGTTCCAGTCTGCCTCAGGTAAGGGAATGTTGTGTCGTGGTGTCTCTGCGATTTTGTCGTGATCTGTGAGAGTGAGCAGGTGGTTGTTTTGTGGGGCACCATTGGTTGATCCGACTTTTTTCCTTTTCCTCTGTTGTTTCTGTCCATTTTTATTAGACTTTTTCCCTGCTCTAAAGCACTGTTACATCATTGTGTGGGTGTGCTTCTCTTTACTCAAACAAAGCAAAGTGATAGAAGCTGGAATAGCAATAAAGATGTACGGTATTAAGAACAGTGTAATGAACTACCTGATGTATTGATTTTTTTTTTCTCTTCTGCAAAAGGTTCTTCTCTACACCCCCACATTCTTTTTAATCATGATCTGTCATCTGCTTTCATCTCCAGTTTCTACACCCTCACTCCCCCTTCCCCCTTCTCTGCTGCCTTTCTACTGCTACTCCTTAGCTCCTTCTTACTGGACTCTTTCAGCCGCACCCCTGATGTTAAGGTAGGGTAAAACCCAACACCTAGATTTCTCGGATAAGGGTGAAAAAATCTTGGAAGGTCCCCCGTGTGCAAGCTGGGCATGTTGAAGATCTCATGGTGGTCATAAAATCGATAAGAGTAGGCTGGCGTTTATGGTTTTACAATTAAATGCTTTACTGTCTTCATGCAGAAGACGTGAATTAGATTCTGTTGAGGGGAGAATTTTTTATGGAGTATTTCTGTCTGTTCATGGAGATATTCTGGTTGGCTTGGATAAGCAGGGTTGAAGCAGTCAGCCTCTTAAATAATATGTTTATAAATTGTGTTGATGGAGGTGTAATAATACGCCTTGTTAAAAAATTATGTAAATTTTAATTTGTAATAAAAGGGGTGAATAAATGCAGACATGCTTTGGAACCAAAAAAAAAAAAAAATTGTCAGAGTTACTTTTAAAAAACATATTGTGCCTTCAGTTTGTGCCTGGAACTTAATGTAAAAATTGTTTTTTATTTGAAATTTGTCTACAGATGAGAAAGCGGTCGGTGTCAGCTCGTAGAGAAGTTCATCACCTGGTGAAGAGGGCTTGGACAGTGGAGGATGTCAAGGAGAAGCTGCGCTCTATCCAGTCCACTTTACAGAAGGATCGGGTCTTGCTCTTCTTGGTCCTCCTGGCCATCCTCGTCGGTGGGGAAATCTTCGCCTCTCCTGTGGAGAAAGTGGCCGATGACTCGTGGTTTGATTTCTTGAACCGCATCGACGACTTGGAGCGCTACGGCCAGCAGAGGTTCTGGGGTTCGATTGCGTTTGTGTTGATTCCGATTGTGGTGACCGTAGCCGTGGACCACACTCCTTGCTTCCTGCCTTACCACATCCATCATTATCTCATTCATTTCTATATCTTTGCCGTACTCCTGGCTGCAGCTTTGATCGTCTCATGCTGGTACCCCGTGCCGCCACCTGCCAACGGGAAGTACAACTCTAAGATCTGTAAAGGTCTGCGCATCATTTGTTGCGATGGCCGAGGGTTCCTGTTCACCCTCACCCTGCTCATCACGGGGATGGTGTACGCAGCCTCCCACAACTTCCTCTTCTGGAGAATCCAGAACCTCGGGGGCTCCGAGACAACGATGGGTTTGTGTGTGGCTATTGGCTCTTTTGCCGAAATCCCCATGCTGCTGTTCAGTGGGAAATTTGTGAAGAAACTGGGCAACTGCTGGGCCGTGTCGCTGTCTCTGATGATACTGACCCTGCGGGTTCTGTACTATGCGTATGTCCCCAATGCCTGGGCTATCCTCCCTGTGGAGCTGGCTCACGGCATCACGCACACCGCCCTGTGGTTTGCCATCCTCAGCTACGACGACTTCAACATCGGAGCAGCTATCGACCGCAGCCTGCGCTCCATCCTGTCCTCTTTCTACTTTGGTTTTGGTTTCTCTGTGGGCAGCATCGTGGCGGGCTATGTTTTTGACACTTACGGTGACTCAGCTTTGTTCCTTGGCTGCAGTGTTGTTACTGGAGGCTGGTGCATCCTTTTCTCTGTCGTGCAAAAGTGCCTCCCCAAGAAGGAGAAGGTACGTTATATTAAGTTGTTGAGAAGTGACTCAGATAACTCTGAGGATGAGGATGATGACTGGCTGGAGATGGCTCTCAAGGACCATTAGTCTTTTTTTCATCTCTTGTTATAGAAGTCACCACAATCATTGTGTATGTCACATGTGGTATGAATGTTTTGCTTAGAATCATGACTGGTTGGGAATGAATCTATAACACTGCTGTTAGTGTTGGTTGTTTTCTGTCTCTAATTGCAAAAATCACTCCCTGTCACCATCATTGTTTATATGTGGAATATGAATGTTGAGTAATAGTGAATGTGATTTTTGTATCATTCTGATTCCGTGTTATTAGCAAAACTTATCTGCACAAAGTCTGCATGGTGGTAGCATTCCATTTTCGTATAGATTAGAGAGTGTGTATATATGTTATTGTGGGACTTGCAGGTAGATGTCCCGATTGTGAATCTAGTCAATTTGCAAAGCTTGGTCTCATGATAGAGACTGAAGAGTAAAGAGTTTCCTGCTGAAAGTTGAACTCTTTTTAAAATAATTTAAAAAACATGAATTTCTGCTCTCTCTTTGTGCCAAGAGACAATCAAGTTTTCAGAAAAAAATCGAATCTGTTGTCAGAAAAAGTTTTATGAAATATATTATGCAGGTATTAAGCTTAAACTAGTTTGAAGTGTTTTATGTAGGTCACTTGAAGTGTAAGTAGTAAAGTGCTAACAGTTCAAAGATATGAGAGGTCTGTCATCATTGGTATGTTTGTTTGGTAGTCAGTAAATATTCTATTGTGCGGAATGGCAACACATGTGAGCAACTTTTTGTTAAAACTAGATGTTTTTGAAAAAATCTTTGAAATTGTCTACTGGACATGGCTCATTGATTTGAGTCTTTGTACAGTTAGTTACATTTTGACACTTTGTGATGTCATGGTTTGAAAGAATAGAAGAGCCACTTGCTGCTCATAATAATAATGGCATAATAATAATGACAGTTTGTCTCTCAGTTTCTGACAATGACTATGCATCTGCAGAGGAGAATATTTCTAAAATGAAATTGAAGAAATGAGGATTGATTAAGATGGTGGCTTCTGTTGTGGCCAAGGAAACCAATTTTTGCTGAGGGTAGTTTGCCACATTTTATTTAAAAGCTTCGTTTCCACTTGGTGAAGTGTGCAGCTTGCGGGCTTGTTTTCTCTTAGCTTCAGCATTTCATTACTTGCCACTTGCGCTGCTTGGGATACTTAATGTTTTTTGTTTTTTTTGATTCTGCAAAATAGGTGAGCCACAGATTTATTTGCCATTGAGCATAATTTGGGATTTAAAACACTATACTATTATATTTAGCTTCTCATTATCTCTCACTCACAGAGTCACATAATCACTCTCAGTGATTAAAAGCATTGATTTCATTTTGTAATCAGACATAGGTCAATACTACCTAAAAGTGCAGTCACCTCTGTCTGAAAGTTGTTACAGTTACACCATGTAAAGTTTTTCTCTCAGTGTTAGACACCAATCTTAACTGTATGATTATATGTTGTCACAACGCAGTGGAATCAGGTGCTCATCAATTCTTGGGCATTTTGAGTTTTTGGCAACATCTTGAAGCTTGTTCTGCTTTGTTTTGCTTTTGATGACAAAAAAACCTCATCTCTATCTTGAATAGAAGTCGAGATATTTTCGATTGAAGAAGGTAGGGGTCTCCTGGTTCGGCAGATAAAATTGGAGAGAAAATGGCCGCCAAAGTCTGGTAATTTCAATAGCTTAGAGAGTCCGTGAAAACTGAAAATTTACATATTTTGTGCCTTTAATCATCGTTTTCAGTAAATTGACATGGAAATGTGATGGATGTAAAAGGTGTTAAGTCAAAAAACAGAAACTCGATAAGAATTGCCAAACTGGCGGAAAAATGGCTATATTTCTTCTATTTTGTAATTTTGATGAGTGCCAGATTTCACCGCGATGCCTCACAATTAAGTTTTTGTTTGTGACTGTTACCATGACATAATAATGTATTTAAATTAGGGTTTAGATGGAAGATAAAAACCTTCATTCATACTTCAAATTCCTTTTTTTAATCGTTGTTAATAGTTATAATACATGTAGAGAGGCAAACAGTTTTGATGGTTTGTGTGAGGATTTGCTCATCAGCCTGTAGATTTGTGTAGAAAAGTGTGTGTGTGGGTGGTCAACAGAACTATTTTTGTATGGCTTTCGTGTAAAAAGTAAAGGGAAATTGTTTGCTGTTTATATTTTTTTTGTTCATTCTTTCTAAATGGGATTAAAGTTTTAAAGTTTTTATCATATTATTGTTTGTATGTTGATGTGTAGTATTTTTTGTATTCATTCCTTATACTTTCTGAAATCCAATTTAATCATGTTCTCTGTGATTCAGTTTTCTATTATGTCTTTAGATTTTGTTTATAAATGTTAACTGTTTATATATATTGTTAACATTTTTCTCCAGTTATTTAAAATATATGATTCCAACTTATTTATGAATTTACTTACTTTCGCATTTGAATGTAAGTATTCTTACTTTTGCATGAAAGTTTCACACTGTGGTAGCTTGTATTCTTTAATGATATATATATGCTCTATATATATTTATTTATCTGCTGTAGTCGAGAAGTTCGGTGCCTTATTAAATGAATTATTTTATTCATGTTTTTCTCCTGAGCTGATGTTGGACGTGCTTCTAAACGTATGTCCCATGATGTTGTAGTATTGTGAAGCTCTGTCTTTTATTTGTCACAAACATGTATCTGTATTATATATAAAAACCAAACCACACCGGATACTTGGTTCGTGAGATCATGTCCAGGAAAACTGTGCTTACATATAATTATTTCAAGGCCATCTATTGACTGTAACGTCTTCCAGTGTGGTGTGATTATGATGTGCCTTAAGAATCTCAACATGCTGCGGATTTTTTCATGGTGGTCTATGAGAAAGAAAAAAAATCCCCAGAGGTGAGATTTGAAAAAAGAATGTAATTGTTCAAGTGGAACAGGTCATGTGATATTGAATCTTTTGAGTAAAAAACTGTCCCATTTATCTACAGAATTTATATGAAGTGCCTTTTTGTGATTAACATACCTACAAATAAATAATTTAAGAGGAAAGAAAAAAATCCAAACATACTGCCTTTTCTTTTGTCACACTTTTGGCAGCTTTCAATTAGAAATTGCTGTTTTTTGAAAGTTGGAAAGCGGATAGGTTTGGGGCGAACAACTAAAAGAAGTCTGCTTAAAAGGGGAGAGTGGAGGGGAAAAAATGTCCAAATAAACACATTTAAAGACATTGTTTTCAGAATACACGTTTTTTTAAGGTTTATAGAAAAAATATATTGAAAACTGATTTGCTTTCTTCACCAATTTTTTGATAAAAGTAACTCGAAATTATATTGTTTTTGGCTTAGCTTGATTTTTTATCTTTGTGATAAATTATCTTCTGGTCTCGTTACATTTTAATTAATTTTTTTTACGAGTTTCATGGTGCTTTACCTTCAAAAGATCATTTTTGTGTCTGGAAGTTTTAGCGGTTGGTGAGCACCACCAGTAGGTCCTACATCTTTTCTTTTCATCTTTTTTGTTTAGTTTGTTTTACTCTTTCCCTGCACTAAATGACCATTATTGTATCGATGTAATGTGCTTCTCCTTGCTCAAACAAACAGACAATTTGGTCTGGAAATGCATATAACTTCACCGTCAAATGCAGTTAAAATTTTCCTTTGTATCCGTTGAAACAGGTTTTTTTAAAATTTGGGGTGGGGTCGGCAGAATTGTTCTGTATTTTATCATTCCTAAATCAGCATAAAAGAATTGGAGTAATATCCACAATATATATATTTTTTACTTAATACTTTGTAAAGAGACAGATTGTATGGTTGCTTTTAAGCACAAGGGGGCTAACCCGAAAAATGCTGTTTTGAGACAATCGAAGGTAAAGTTTTTGCCCCTTGTTCAGTTTCTTTAAAAGACAAGGAGAGTTTTATCTATAACAAAACTAATATATACACAAATGAAACCAAACTTCTTCTCCTACAGGTAGGGCAATGCCCACTTTTGAAGTGGGTCAAAATTTCTAGAATCCCGGGGAATCTGTTTTAGCCCGCTTGTCCCTAAAAGCGACCATATTACACTAGTACAAATCTGCTGCAGAGCTGTGCCGCTCTTGTCTCCTTTCCTTGATCACAAACATTCTACGGTAATGCATTCCTTGTTTCAACTGTTCTCATACCTACTTTACAGCGCTCAAAGTTCTCGTATTTTTATAAAGTGCAATTATTTTGGATTAATGATTTTTCCACCCTTTGATGTATTTGTGAGTACAACCCATTTATTTTGATGCAGTATCAGTATCATCATGGAGAAGTGATCCGCTCAGTAAGTTTATGTTACATGAAATGCCATGATTTTGTGCAATAGATGTTATTGTGATAAAAAAAAAGCTGAATGTTTATTTTTAACTCTCTTAGGTTTACCAGTGCTTTTTGTTTCGTCTCACCACCTTTTTAGTTTTAATGCCCTGGATTTTCAGACTTACTTTCAGTTACATTGTTATCCTTGGCAAGTGATATTTGGAGTTTTTAAAATCCCTCTTTTTATGAGCCGCTGGTTGGAGGGAGCTCCTAGTGCATCTGACTTTGGGGTTTTTTTCTCTCTTGTTTCTCCCTGTCTAGCTTGCATTTTCCCTGCACCAAATATCTGTACTTGTGTTGATTTCCTTCTCTTTTCTCAAACTCTCAATGGACGCCCAGCAAGTGTTTGTGGGAAGTTTGCGGGTGCTCCAGTGTGGTCTGCTGCTTCTTTCTTGTCAAACATCTATTTACTGTACCTTCCTCGTTTTTTCTAGTATGATAATGTATGTTACTTTCTTGTATCACCTAATCTTTGGGCAAATGACTATGACTGTGTTGATCGATGTGTTCTCTCTATTCAAACTCAAACAATCTTTGGGCACTTTTATGACCTATTTGTGTTCCAAGTGCCGTCTAACGCTAGCTGTAGTGTCTTTAGGCCATTCCCAAAAAGGGGACATTTCTCGTTCAAGCACAGTAGAATTGTAAATGGGCTGATTCATCATGTCACGCTCATAATTGTCCCTGATCTGCAACAGGGAACTGCTGCTTTTTCTTTCCTAATCCTTACTATTGTCTTTTTCCTCTACCTCTTTTGTATGTTTGTCACACTCTTGATAGTCAAAGCAGACCTTGTGCTTTTGAAGCTAGAGAGGGGAGCTGAGTAAGTCTGATTCCCTTTAAGGACTTCTCTGTTGGCACCCACCCCTTGGCGCTCACATGACCTTCTGCAGTGCCGTAAAACCCTCTACTGAAATAAAAAAACGCTTACTAAAACTAATTTAGAATAACAAGTGTTTGGTACTGTGAGTCACCTTTTGTGGGTTTTCTGTGGTCTGGCCTCTACAGCTGTTACTGCTATCAACATGTACCTGTTCTTGCATTGTGAGTTCTGTTACATTCTGGAAGCATTGTTCTTTCTTTATCACTTTTCAGTTCTCTCTCTCTCTTCCTTCTGACTCTGTGACATCATACTTGGTCAGTGATGCCGACAGCACGCAGAAAGTGTTTTGGCACGATAGTTGGAAGGAAATTTCGGGAACATGTGGTCCATAGTCTCGTCCTCTTTGCAGTCGCTTTTCAGTCCAACTTGAAATTTGTATTGTATGGTGTGAGTGTTTGAGGGTGCCTCTAGTACTAGTAGGTCATACTACTTTTACCATTCAGTTCAAATGAAAATTAGGATTTTATTACACAGATAGTTGGAGGGTGCCTATAGAAGATCTTACTACTTTCTTTACTTTCCTTCTCGTTTCTGTCCATCTGTCTCACCCCTTTTGCTTGGTTTGAATAACCAATTTCTTTGCAATGTGTTTATCTTTACTCAAAGTCCAACAGTGTGGTGCCATGTGCTGTTCTTGAATTCCAATAATTTTTATTCAAGAATTATTTGCAGTTCAAAATTTGTCAAAGTGCAAAACACTTAACTGAGCATGGAAAGTACATTGATGTATTTTTTAAATAGCTGGATTATTTGTCAAATAAAGTGCGCTGACTGGTAGTCAGTAGTTTCCAACTTGATTTCAGAGATTCCTATTTTGATGTTAACTTCTTTGCAGTATTTTTTGTTTCAAAGGACGTTTTGTGTTCATGTTGAAAGGATAAATAACGCATTTTTCTGTTATTGTCACACTTGTGTCTCTCTTATCTCTCATCAACATAAACACTGAGGTGTATGGACTTCTCTGTTGACAGAGACTCCTTGGTGCTCGTAATATGACCTTTTGCAGTTGCGA